CTTAAGCTGTACTGCTGCTGTAAAATAAGTGTTTACAAGAAGAAGGTACCACGTGGAAAGTGTCGGACCGTGTCCTGGAGTGGAAACTGAGCCAGAATCAAAGACATCCTTCCAGATAAAGACCACCCTGTGCATCAGCGTCGTGTTTAAGCCGGGGCACAATCAAGACACAATGCCAGCATTTCATAAATCTCACTTATGCTCCAGAATATGGGGAAGCGTTTCCCAGAAGAGCTCTAAATCCCCTCTGTCTGGTTGCAGGATGAATTGTGTGTTTTCCAGGGACTCTTATAGGGGAGAGGCCACCCAGAGACCTCAAGGAAATGGGTCAAAGGAAACCATTTAACAAAATACTGAGCGCATGAGGTTCAAACCACGTGTAAGATGGACAACACATTTTCTGGCATAGAAATTATTGAATTCTTGGTTAGGAAGGAGCAGTCATTTTTTGGTGGTTGTATACATAGGAGGCAGTGGTGATTCTTTGGTTTTCCTCCCCATATAAGAACTGTCGTTTATCCATGAACTGTCATTTATCCACGTGTAAAAGACCTGTTGCTGCTCAGGAATTCTGTCTTCAGCAGCTGTCTGGTGCAGGGAAAACTTGGACCTTTACCTGCCACAGTTTTATCCACCTTGTCCACAGCTAGAGCCTCCTCTGCCCCTCAGCATGGGCACAACAGAACTGACCTAAGCAACCCCAGCTGCTTCTTCAGCCCCGTGCTGGAAGGTGCTTCCACCTTCCAGCCCAGCATGTTCATCCCCCACCTTTCCAAAGCAAAACCTGGTTCAGCTAAATCTCACAGCACATTCCCACCAGTAAGAAGCATTTCCCAGCCATTTGACTTCCCCATCTCCGAGTTCCTGCTTTGTTTATCCTATTAATTCCAACCACCCCCTCTTCCCCCAACACACACGCACGCAAGCCTCATTTACAGCATCTTCGCCAGCAGAAGCCTCCCCAGAATATTCAGGGCACATCAAGCGAGGATTTACACGTGTGGGGAAACCCTCGTGACTGGTGATATATTTTTTTTTTCCCCCTCTCTGGAGCAAACATGAGCTCATAATTTTTTTTTTTTTTTTTTTATCTCTTAAAGGAAAAAAAAAAATAAAAGAGAAGCCCCGAGGAGCGGCATTCCGGGTTGCCTTTATCCAACCGGGGGCAGCGGGACGGCTCGGATGCTGCACCGGGAGCCGCGGGGCCGCCGGGGCTGAAGGCTCCCGCTCGCAGCCTCCTCTTCCTCGGGTGCTTTTCCCTCCCTCCTCCTCCTCCTCCTCCCCCCCTGCATTTCCTCCTGCACCTTTAAGAAGCCCATTGCCGCCGGTGGGATGGTGTGTGCTAAAGCTGCACAGAGGAAGTTACGCAGCCGGGATCAGGCACGGAGATAAAAGCTCCGATTGTGATTGAAAGTGAGAGCAAAAGGGATTTCAGCCTCGGCATTAACTTGCGAGGGGAGCGGGGATTGCACAAAGCTCCCCCGGCCATCTGCCCTTGGGGGCCGGCGGCGCAGCGCCTGCCCGCCGGGCTGGGCAGGGCAGGGCTGGGCTGGGCAGGGCTGGGCAGGGCTGGGGGGGTGTTTTGGGGTTCCCCCGGCCCCGAAGTTCGCTGCTCCGCCGGGAGCCCCGCGCCGCAGAGCTCCCTGCCGGTAAGGACCCGCAGCGCCGGGCATGGGGGGAAAGCGGGGGCGGAGGGGGGGGCGGGCAGCGCCGGCATCTGCCCCAGCCCCGAACGCTGCGTGTCCCCCCGCGCCTCCCAAGTTGTTCCCACGCTTTCCTGGGGTGTCCCGCTCTCTGCCCCCCTCCCCGGAACATCCCCGTCTCCCCGCTGCCGGATGAGGTTTATTTTCCCACTTCGGAGTTTGAGAAGCCGGGGGGCTCCCCCAGCCCGGCTCACCCCGCCCCGCCGATCCCCTCCCCGGTCCGTGCAGCCCCCCCAAAGTCCTTTCGTGGAAAAGAAAGCGGGGAGGATGGGGCGGAGCGGGAGCGGCATCGGGTTTTGCCGGGAACCGCGAATCCATCAGGGAGAGCGGCGGGATGCCAGTGGGATTTCCAGGGTTTCAGCTGGGAGCCGCGCAGCGTTATCGCGGGGTTCGGGCTCCCGGACCCCCGAGGGTGTCCCCAAATTCGGTGTCCAGGGCGCGGGGAAGGGATGGTCAGCATGGGAAAGAGGAGAACAACTCCAGCTCCATGAGCGCGGGGGGAGAGCGCAGAGTTCATGGGGAGAGCAACACTTCTGAGAGAAAATTAAAAACTCCTTCATTGAGTTTACTTTCTGCTCTTAATCTGAGAGCAGCTCAGTTGTTGCTCAGTGTTGTCCTTTTATTTCAATAGGGTGTTAATCCAATAATAAGAAAAAAACCCAGAGCCAGCTAAGTCAAGACACAATCTAATTTTGTGTTTTTAATACTCCGGCTATCAGTCCCCAGTGAGTGCTGAGTACTCTTCAAAGAGAACAAAGAGCATTGATTCTATTTGTTCCCATGAACTGCAGTTTCTTAATAATATCTATCAGGTGAAGATTTATTTTCTAAGAACCAAACCAAATCAAGCAGGGTGAAACCTTTAATCTGGGGAGCCTCTCTGCCCCGTTTGCAGTATGTTGGCTCGTTCCAGAGCAACACTCCAACTATTTCTGCAAAGAGACTGGACTGGCTGAGGGAGTGTTGAGCCACAGACTTCGCCCCAAACCCACTTGCCTGGCTGATGGTCTGACAGTAAATGCATTTTTCCAGCAAATTTTCATTTCCCTGGGAATCTGTGACATTTAGCCAGCATAACAAGACACTAATAGATATTATAGATCCTTTCTACCTGGGTTTTTCCCTGACAGCCGTTCAAGTGCAAGATATAATTGTTGAGGCTGTGAAAATAGATCCATGAACTTAACAGCACTGGAGTCCTCATTAAAACTACCCTGCTTGTTTTCTACACAATACTGGAGTCTCTCACTCTCTGCTGTTATCAGGCACTTGGCAGTGACCAGTTTGATGTAATAATTAGGAACTGACTTGTTATAACTGGAAAGACAGCTCTGATGTAAGTAGGACTTATAAACACTGTGTCACACTGGCTTATTATTTTTACTACATTTACTCATAATATAAAAATAGCAGCCAGTCTATTCTTTTTCTGGGAGTTTATTCAGGTCCAATGCAGCTATAACAGGCTCTTCGTTGAGAGCTGGCAATGAAGCATGAGAGACAGCTTCTCTTTTCTGAACTCATTCATCTCAATCAGCAATCTTTCAAGCAAAAAGGGGGGAAAGGGGAGATGGTAGCAGAGCAGTGTGAAGCCCCTGAACACGGATCAATGTATCTGTTAACCTGGAGTTTCAGAGCTTTAGTAACTGAGCTTCATGAGAAAGCAAATGCTAAGAGTGCTGCTGAAGTAGATATGCCTCAATTGTGAAAGAAAAGTTGGGGAAAGAAATAGGAAGGGAATTATCCAAAGGTAAATTTCTGTTCTGTGCCTCCCACCTTCTCAGATGAGATCTCCCTCCTGAATCTAATACTGAGAGAGGGTTTGACTTTTTCCCCCTCCCCGCTACGGTTCTTTGTCATTTTGTTTTGTAATTACTTACAATTTTTATAGCTCTACTGGAAAGACAACAAAATTGCAGAAATGTTGTTCTAACCTGAAAAGAATACTGGGAAGGTCATTGCTCTTTGTATTAGGTGAACCTAAATGTTATTAGGACTTTAATTTGTTTTTTATTAAATGTTATTGTTCAGATAAATCATATGTGGGGCTGCTGGACAATGTATCTGTCTCCCCAGCTGTCTTTTTTATTTGCTTATCTTTTTAGGACTATCAATTTGTCTGTCTATCCCTACTCTGTCTGCATATTCCCCATCTTCTAATGACCCATAGCTTCTTCTTGATATTATTTGAAGACCCATTACAGCTCCTGTTGAACAGCTGCTGTTGCAAAGCAGATACCTTAAATTGGGCAGCGCTCCTTCCCTTCTCCCAGACAGCAGAAAAGCCATAAGCATCTTACTATGGATTGATTTTTATTAAAGTTGTATATCTCCCTGTTACAAAAACCTGTCTGGTGGCTTGGCAAGCCCAGCTGAGGGCTCTGCCTCCTGAGGGACCCCTGTTCTTGTTGCTCCAACTATCCCCCCTTGCTCCCACCTAATTTGTCTTCCAATTTCTTGCAGGTCCCTCGTGCTGATGAGCTCTGCCTTTGCCCTGACCATGGGAGAGAGAGGAGCTCTCAGGTAGTCCCATGGCTTGCAGCTGAAGGCTTTGGGAGGTTGGTGCTCTGTTGCCAAAAGGCAGAACTGGACGGGAATCCTCGCCACCACCACAGGACACAGCAGGAAAAGCCAAGGCCAGCCCTGCCCCAGCCACCCCAGTGACCACCCAGCACCTGCTGGGACCACCACGGACCTGGCCACCGGACCTGTTCGAGCTGACACAACCATCCTTTGGGAAAAAGGAATTTTAGCTCCAAGCAGTCGCTCTTGTCAGAGTAGTACTGATGACCAGATGCTCTATTCATTTTATATGCTAATGTTCAAACACCCCAATAATTAAGGCAGACAGGGTTTAAGACACTTTCCACAGTGACATGTTTGGAGCAGAAGGTTGAGGAAAACCTGATCCAGCACCATCTCACGGCCTCTCTAATTTACTCCTATCAAATTTCATCAGCAACTCAGAACTTGATCTTTGTATTGATTGACTGGAGTCACCTCTAGATATTTTCATGCTGATTGGAAGACCTTTCGTACAATAACAGGGGGAAAAATGAGGTTAAGGAAGACTTCTGACCACTGATCAGCAACTCTGGCCAAAACTTTCCCAATCAAGTGAATTGCAAAGTTGGCTTCTGTGCCGAGAGGAGCTTTCCACATCCAGATCCAGCGTGCAGAGTGGGATCATCCCTGTCACTGTCTGGATCTCCTTCGACTGGAGCATTTTTAGATGAGGAGTTTCCATGCTGATCCCGAGAGCCACCCCTAGCTCAGTAGCCGCCCTCCTCGGGACTCTTGGCACTGCCCTCGCCCAGGGATCCAGCACTTGGCCACAGCTGCCATGCTCTACCTGGCTGCTCTCCTCGTGCACTGCGTCCCCCTGGCCATGGGACAGTATGACATTTGCAAGTCCTGGGTGACCACGGACGATGGCCCCTCATGGGAGTTTTATGCTTGCCAGCCCAAGGCCATGCGGATGAAGGATTACGTGACTGTGCGGGTGGACCCGGCAGGAATCACTTGTGGGGACCCTCCAGAGAGGTTCTGCACCCATGTAAGTGTTTCCTTCCTTATTTGCTGGCTTAGAACAGACTCTGCTGGTGGCTGGAGGCAGTGTCCAGCCCAGGTGCTGCTGTTAGGATGTTCTGGGTCGGCGTGGCCACGGTGGCCACTGCCTGGAGCTCTCAGCCTGCAGAGCGGGGAGCAGGCGCCCTGCCCATCCCGGGGCTGTGCCAGTCCTGCAGCAGGGATGGGACATGCCAGGGGGAGGGCAAGGAAGAGCCAGGGAGGGCTGAGCAAGTCCTGGGTGAGGTCTGGATTTTGGGAAAGCTCTGCCCCTGCAAGCATACAACCTGAGCTGCTCCTCTACTTGCTGAAGTGTGGGTGTGCTTGCCAGTCCCATCCCAAAGGGTTGCTCCAGCACTGCTGGGATTTTATGGGATGTGGGCAGATGGTCTCAGTTTGAGGCAGGGTGAAGGGCAGGGCAATGGGGTAGTTTGGCCCCTGCACACCCACAGCTCTGGCAGTTGGTCTGACAGCCACAAATTTCACTAAAGCTCCTGAAAATGTGCGTCTCCCTCTCTTATAGCCTTCACATGAAAGGGCTTTGTGGACAGACATTTGCCCTTGTAGTTAAAATCTTTAACTTATTTTCTCTTAAATATTAATCATTGCATTTCATTCCGTGCACCACAAAGCTCAGCAGGAACATTTGATTTATAATTCACAAGGCTTTACATTGTTAAAGTGTTCAGGGGTCAAAGCAAAGAGCAAAACAGTAATGCCCCCTCCCAAAGGTCCCCCCAGGAGTGGTCCAGGCACACATTTATGGGACAGACACCAAGCCAGCCCATGCTGGCAGGGTTTCCACTGGGCTGAGCACTGGACTAAGAGTGTCTTCTAAAAGAGTATATTATTCTTTTATTATAATGAGAAGTGGAGTTCTCCCTCTAAAACATTGCAGGGAGTCCCATTTTCTATTGCCAATGATACCCCATGCCTCAGTTTGCCACTGAGAAAATACCCCGGGCCCAGCCAGTCAGGGCACCTCTTAAAAATCCAAGAGAAAAATGCTCCTTCAACAGCAAGGAATGCCAAACATTTATGATCATCAGAACACGCTGCCAGTAGTTACCCAGTTCCCTCCAGCCTAAGGGCTCTCATTAGTACCAGGGAAGACATTTCCACTAATTCCAGATAAGTAGCAGCTTTCCCTTTTAAAAGATCGTTTGAAAAGAAAGATTAAGTCCAAGGTTGCAAATAAAACCGTTAACTATTGATGGGTCAGTCTGTATTTCCATTTATCTGACTGTCTGCAGAAGGATTAAAAGGAGAACAGCAGATTACTTCCCACTACACTCGCTGCAGCTCTTTGCAAACCCTCTCTGGTTAAGAATGCTCCAGACTTCAGCTCCACTGACCTCCAAGGAAGCAAAAGACACAAACTGCAATCAGCTCTTTGCATCTCTTGATTCAGTCAATACTGAGCTGAAATCTTTCTATTCTGGGCACCAGCAGTATTTCCTTGTAGCATACGCCTGCCATGTGCTGTAACACTTGCAAACACCGTGTACAGCCGTGAATGAGAGCTACACAAATGCAAAACATGGATTTGCCTTCCTGTCCCTGCCTCACCCCAGCCTGGCCTGGCTCTCGCTTCCCAAAACAGAAACCAATGCTCATAGCAATGTCCCTGAGCAATTCCCTGGTGAATAATCAAGCTAAGAACAGGAATAATATATTGCAAGGTATTTTTTAGATTTTTTGGGATGGGTTTGTGAAATATCACTATATTCATGGCCCTTTCTCCCCCATCTTACACCAGTGCTATTCTCCCCAGAGGACTAAAGAGTTCCAAAAGCGAAGCAGAGGAAGAGCAGCCCTGCTGAGGTGAGCAAGGAGCCCACCCAGCACTCAGAGCACAGAGTAGGAGGTGGCTGCAGGAGAGATCCAGGCTCCAGTACAGCCTTAGCACCGGACTGGTGTGGGCTGGGAAGCCATCAAGGTAGATTTTCACGACCTCTGTCACCGAGAATGACATGTGGCCACTTACTGCTGAGCATCCCCTTATGGTCAGCGGAAAGTGGAATCAGCAAGAAATGGTCCTTCCATCGCCGGTGCTGGGTGGTGACTTGACACCTATCGACGTGCAGGGGGAGGGAGCCGAGCCCACAGAGGATGTGAGCGGAGTTCTGCTCCCCCTGCACTAAGGAAGTGCTGGACAAAAATCGATGTTTCTGTCCACAGATCGTTACAGCCTCCGAGCCCCAGCCCTCGCTGCCAGAGGGGAGGGCGAGCAGCTCTCATAAACCCAGGGCAGCTCCTTGCTGCCAACCTGCTCAGGTGCCTTTTGGTGTCCTCTTATCCTTTCTCTTCAGGTTTTAATTATTTCCTTGTAACAGGTGGGTTCTCATAGGAGCCTGGTTTTCCAGCAGAGAAGTTCTTACGGTGACTGTATTGCTTTCTTAGGTGTCTTTCAAAACAGCAGGGGACTGTCCGTGCAGTTAAACTCGCGTTACTCAGAATTAAGCGCAGCCCAGCGGGGCTCCTGCCCTACTCCGACAGCTGCAATCAAAACTGAAGACACACAAACACCCCTCCATGCTCAAGGCAGCCAGACAGGAGTTAGCTGCACCATATCCCCAGGCAGGGCAGGCGAGGAGCAGAGTCTTGGTGACAGTCAGGACCTTGTCAGACAGCGAGTGCGTCCTGCGAGGCTGCACAGCCCACGGGATCCTGCACTGCCCTGCCACAGCTCCAGCAGTGCTCACAGGACTTCTGCACGAGGAGCCTTCAAGAGATGGCAGGAATTATTTGGAGGACCCTCCTTGGTGTTTTGTAGAAATTCTGGTCACATCTGGCTGCTTCCTTCTGATTGGGAAGCGTTTTGCTGCTTATTAAAGTCAAGGGTTTTGCTTTTTCCACAGTTTCTGAACCTGTTCCTATTCATGTCAATGCCTTCCTGGCAGGGTCACCTGAAAAATGAATTGTACTTTACCTCCTGGCAGGGTAGGGGGAGTGGTGGGAGCAGGAAGACAGATGGATAAGTAAATAAAAGCCTGAATTAAACTGAAAGTGTGACTGAAGACTAATAGCGAGCAGATCTTTTAAACCAAGGATGTCGAGGGAGGGGTGAGACTTCAAAGATCACAGGCAGGGCACGGCATGGAGCAGCTGAATGTGCATTTCAAAGGAGAAGGGTTTGCAGGGCAGGCCCAGCTGGGAAATGGCCAAGCTGCACATCCCCATGGGGCAGAAGGGAGATGTGGTGTTCCTTCACCTTCCCACCCTCCTGGGCAGGAGGAGGAGGAGGCTGGCACAGCTGCTCCCAGGTGCTGAGATGCTCTGAGATGCTGAAACACTTCTTTGATACCGAGCAGGGACCTTTGGGAGTTTCACTTTCAAGCGTCAGCGTTTTGCACACAGGATAAAAATTCCTCAAGTTTTGTGGGGAATTCCCACATGGGGCATGCAGTGGGGAGCGAACAAACACCAAAGCCCAGTCCCAGCTCCTTGCAGCTCAAGGGCTTTCCAAATCATTCCAACAGAAACCAGGAGAGGTGTCCATAACAGATGCTCATTATGGGATGGTTTTGCTGCTCCTTGACATCCCAGTGAGAGCACAGGGAACCCACCTTGCTGCAGGAATGGGAGCCCTTTTCCCCTCATGGAGGTGTTGAGACAGTATTTCATGTTCAGACAACACTCTGATGCAGGGCCGAGCTCTCAGCCCATATTGATGGGCCAGGGGTATTTTTATTTGGCGTCAGCATTGTTTCATCAGCTAATAGAGCTTGTTGACTTTGGCACGGGTACATGAAAGGAAAAGGTTTTATTTATTCATTACACACGCAGCTAAATTGGATGTTTAGTTTAGTTCTTAGCTAAACTTTTCTGAATGACATGTGGTTATAAGGCTTGTACTAAAGGACTGTTTCTCCTGTGGACTGGGTGCTAAAATTGGAAAAAGCAGACAAACCTTTGGGTTAAGAAACCCTTTTCCTTGCACTTTTAGCCCATCTCGTACAGCTCTACCCATCTGTATCTTCGTACACCTGTTTAGGTGCAAACAAGGGATTGTGGGTTTAGAGATGATTAAAAGCCAAAAGTTTTTAAAATAAGAAGGGAAAAAGTATTGCTTCAGCAATGCTCTTCCAAAAACATTTTTAAAGATGCAGCATGTTCTGGTGGTTAAAGGATGGATTCATCCCTTCTGGTACCCTGAGCAGAGACCCACAGCCCTTTCCCAGCCCACCAGACTTCTAGCTGGTTTCGAGTAAAACCAGGGGGCAAAGCACGAGGTATTCTCAGCCTTTTGAATGCCCTAGGGATCAAGGACATCCTATGGGCTAAGCAGAGCCTGTGTACGAGTCCAATGGAAAATCCTTTCTAAGAAAAGCAGATATTCTCCCTCCTCCTTGAATAAATCAGCACTACCCACTGCTGGTTGCAAACCCATCCTTGGCCGTAGAAGAGGGAGTTGGAACTCCCCATTGCCCTTCATTGTGGAACTCATATGGCCCTGGGGATGATCACTTTGTCTTTATTATTTATATGAATTAAAAAATTCAGCAGCACGAGAAATTCACTCTCTGCTGTCAGATCACCTGTGACACCCCTGGCAGCTTTGTAGGGAGGGAAAGAAGTGATTTCCTTTTCACAGCTGCAAAGTGCTAACAGCCCCTCTTCCCCCTCAAAGCCTCCAGCCATTAAATTAACACCTGAAAACGCTTTCCCTTTGAGGAAAGCCTGGGAAAGACAACTTGCTGCCATTTCCACCCAGAGGAAGGCTTCCAAATCCACCCCTTGCACCCATCCTGGTGATGGTTTTGAGTGTAGGAGAAAGAGCTGGATTTGTGAACTTTTGGTTCTGTTCTCACCCTTAATCACTCCTCAGCATCAGGGTTGCTGCAGAGGGCACTGTTTGAAGTCAGGATCAGTGGCTCCTTGCCTTTGGGGCCAGACCCTTGGGTTGTACATTATTAGCTGCTCAGCAAATTACACGCTGCTCTTCTGCCACTGAGGCTACTTCAGACTGCAGCAGGATCTCGGTGT